TTCCTGCAGATACACCATATAATCATCTAGAATAGCAGACCTGCGAACCCTTTGGGACTGTCTTGGTTCAACAACCAGATCCCCATCACCCTCTAAAGGTGATTCATCTTCAGCTTCATCTTAATCTACAGTATTATTTCTGTCAACATGAGGGGTTGTTAAGATAGGCAAAGGCAAAATGCTGTTTTCATCATGCAAAGTAATATGTCTAGGCACAGAGCTCCCATTGTCTAAGGCTTCTTCAAAGAATTAAGCTTGGTCAGATTCAATTATTCTAGTAGTATGATTTGGACAATAGAATCTGTACCTATGAAATCCGATGCAATAGCCAATAAAGAAACCATCAACAGTTTTAGCATCAAGTTTCATTTGTTGTGGATTGTAAGGTTTTACTTGTGCTTTACAACCCTAAACATACATATGCTTCAATGCAAGAGTCCTTCCAAAATACAACTCATATGGAATCTTTGAAACTGACTTGCTAGGAACTTGATTCAAAATATAAACAGCAGTTTTAAGTGCATCACCCCATAAGAATTTCGACAGTGAAGAGTGACTGATCATGCTTCTAAACAGATCCATGAGAGTACGATTTTGCCTTTCTGCAACCCCATTCTGCTGCGGGGTGCCAGGCATAGTATATTGAGCTTCAATACCATGCTCTTGAAGGTACAAAGAAAATGGCCCAGGGTTCCTTCCAGTTTCAATATATCTCTCATAAAATTCTTCTCCTCTATCAGATCTCACACATTTGATCAACTTGCTAGATTTCAATTCAACTGCTGCTTTAAAGGTCTTAAATGCATTAAGAGAGTCACCCTTTTCATACAAGAGTTTAATCTATCCATGAAGAGAGTAATCATTAGTGAATGTAATGAAATATCTGAAATTACTTATAGCCGAAGGTGTGATAGGTTCATAAATATCAGTATGGATTAGGTCTAAAGTGTTTTCAGACCTCTTTGCCCCTTTGGTTCTAGCTCTAGCAAGGAATTTTTCCTTTATGCAATTAACATAAATCTCAAAATCTGAGAAATCAAGGTCTTGTAAGACACTTTGCTTGGCCATACGCTCCAATCTCTCTCCAGAGATATGATCCAAATGATAATGCCATAGCGATAGCATAGAGGAATTATCGTTAGACCTTTGACGTTTATGCCCAACAGTATTATTCATATGAAGATTAGGAAGTTCAAGTGACTAATCATTCAATTGATATAAACCATATAATAAGGAAGCATAACCAATATTAATGGAATCAAAAAAATGTCAATTTTTCCATTTCCTTGGAAGAATGAATAGCCATAAATATCCAATGCAAAAGTTAAAATCAAATTCCTTTTCGCAGAAGGTATATAAACAACATTATTCAACTATAAAACATGACCAGAATTTAAATATAAAGAAATAGTTCCAATATATTCAACTGATACCTTGCTCCTTGTTATGCCAAAGATTGACTTCTGTGCCTCACTTAGAACCTTTTGGTTTCTTAGCCCCTGTAGAGAATTTATAACATGTACAGTGATACTAGAATCCAACCACCATGAGTCAAAGAAAGTTTTATTGGTGTTAAATTCAAAACAAACTAGAGCTAGAGGGGCAGTTTGAAGAATTGTACCTTTACTTTTTTTTTGTTTTTCAGTTTGAAGCAATTAGCTTTAATGTGACCCAATTTCTTGCAATAATTGCATAACGCCTTAAAGGGTTTCTTGGCTTCTCACTCTTATCACCATCCTTTTTAAAGGTTGGATTATTAGGCTTTGGGGCATCATGCTTCTTCCCCTTCTTCTTATATGACCTCCAGATTTGCTGCTAGAACCATGAGAAACATAGTTTATTGAGTGAGAGGAGTTGTTCTTTATAGCTTCCTCTTCTTGAGTGACTATTAATATCATCTGATCAACAGATCATTTAGCTTCTTGTGAGTTGTATGAAATCCTTAAGAATGTATACTCTAATGGCAGTGATTGAAGAACACGGTAAACTAAGGTACTTTTACCCAAGTCAATTTCATTTGATTTAAGCTTGTTATAGTAATGAACAAGCTTCAGAATGTGCTCCTTGACACCAGAAACTCTGTCATATCGAGTATTGTCAAGAAGTGACAAATAGTAGTTATTTCGAGTCTTGTCAAGCTTCTTGTATTTATTGCCAACAGCTTTCAAATATTCCATTACAGTTTCTTTTTCAGGAATGTTGTCCCTAATTTTTTTTAATTGTGTACTTAATGATCACAAGACAAATCTGGTTGGACTAACTCCATTATTTATGGAAGATCATTTCAGAAGCATTGGACTTATAAGAGAGATCCACAGGCTTGGGTTCTATCAGAGCTAAATTTTTCTCAGAAATAGTCAGATACATATTCAGGGACTCTTTCTAGTCATCATAGTTAGTCCCATTGAGAGCCTTCACAAAGGATAGTTGCGTAAAAGCAGAAACTAAAATCGCAAAACAGAAAATGAGAAATATTAATTATGCGTGCACAACATAATTATAAAACAGAATTTTCTAACAAGCGATTATCCATTATACAACTATAATTATGCACAAAAAAGGCTCAAATACCATAAAGATTTAGCTCATACAAAAGTCCATACAAAATAATGCGTTAAACATTTTTATACCTATAGGGTACAATAAATATCTAACATATTAAAGAAGTGCTATTAGCCTATCCTCAAAACCAACCATTAAAATCACATTAATAATGTCACACCTATGGGGTATGTTCATTATCAATGCTATAATATCCTTAGCATCATCAATAATTCATAAAGTCATAAATTTTTATGACCTTAGGACAAAACAAAATAATTTAAAAGTCCTTGGGGCCTTTTGGGAATTAGAGAACAAATTTGGGACTACAGTGAAATTTTAAAAGGTATATAGGGGTAAATAGGTAATTGTGGAATAGATTTGGGTTCAAAACATAATTTTGAAAGTTAAGGGACTAAATGAAATTTTCAAAAATTTATTGGGTCACGGCATAAATATGAAAAATTACGGGACAAAGGAGGTAATTCTAGTTTGGGGCCAAAACGTAATTAATAGAGACAACAATTTTTTTTTTGACATTAATCTGGGCTAATGCGTATTGGGCCCAGACTAGTTTCTTTAAGTGAACATGGCCCATTTTCCCTTTCCCCTTCTTTTTTTTTTGAAGAAAGATTTGAGCCCATCCGAAAATGGGCCCAGAACTCATAATACCGGATCCTTAGGATCCGATTCCTAACCCTGTTCCTGGGTCTTCTCCAGCCACGCAGGAGATGAGGAAGAGGGGAGGAAGTCACCAGCAACCTGGAGCAGCAGCAAAGAATGAAGTTGCAGATGACGCACCGACAACTCGTCTCCGACGACTTTGGTTCATGCACAAACAGAGATGGATTGTTTGGCCACCACCGTCAGATCTTGGGAGGGAGGGAGATGCCGTGGTTTGCAGCTTTGTTTCCGGTGACCTAACAGCAGAAGCACCGAATTCCGTCCCCATCCCCGTGGTTTGCAGTTTCGTTTCTGGCGACCTGATGGCAGAAGAACTGAATTCCGTCCTATCTTCGATGTTGATTAAAAAAAGGGAAGAGAAGGCAGAGAGTCGCATAGCAATACAGCGAATCTCATACTCATTTTCAATGACCACAATGGAAGGAAAAATTATTAAGCACGTTAATAAAATCCGAACATATTCATAAATGAATTTTATTAATTCATAACGTACGCATAAAATAAATAATGAATTGAGACATACAGACTGATATTTGTAACCAGGCTCTAATGCTACTTGTTGAATTTTGTATTTCTCAATTTATATGAACAAGTAGAGTAATGTATGCGTACCTAATGAATCCATGAGTGCTTGAAAAAACTTGATTACCTTGAGTATAGACAAATGCACAACGTACTCATCCCCAGAGTCTTGAGAGAGTGCAAAGACAATGGAGCAGTAGAGAATGAGTTGTATATTTGCGGTTATCAACTGATCAACTTATAAGGATTAGATCAGTAATCACTTTATTAAATAATTAAAATAATTATTATCTATTATCTTTGACTCAGTCAGTTAAGAGATAAGAAATAACTGATGATTACTGGGTTGTGAGTTGGGCCTCTACCTATTGGGCTCACTTGTGTGATCCACCTATCACGATCCACACAAGATCATGAGGATCAATCTGCTTGGATTTATTAATTAATATTAATTTATAATAAATATTCCAACCAAAACTAGAAAATGAGTTCCTTTTTGTAAATCCTCATTTTCCATCTAATCATCGAGGGCCGAGGCTTCATGCTTTTTGATGGGCATTAAAATCTAATGAGTAGAAAACCCACCATTTTCCTTCTCAATTCCTTTCGATATTCATTTGTACCTGGTGTTGTACACATCTACGATATCATTGAAGACAAATGAATTGATATGCCTTAGAAATCTTCACCATAACCTTTCTCTTTGAATGCTTCTTATGTTACTGGAAGGATTTTTAGAAAGTGTTTTTTCATTAATTATTGTTATTTGGTAAATAAAATATTTTTATATTCTTTTATCTTAAACAAGTTAAAAGTGATTTTTTATAATGGTAACCAAACACATAATATTTTTTATTATTCCAAATTCTCTAAAAAATCACTTTTTATATAATTTCTAAATTATAAAAAGATTACTTTTTTTTAATCTTACTTTTGTCAAAATATTTTATAATTTTAAATGTCAAATCTCTCTCAAAAAGTGTATTATAATTTGAGATGAAGGAGCAGAAAACATTGGGCCGAAATAAAAAAAAAAAAAGAGGATACCCCATATGATAGTTTAAAAGGGGTTAATTGGGATTCTGTGGTTGTTATTATCATTTTCCGTTTGATATTTATGATTTTATTAATCTGAGTTCCCTAATTGTACATGTGTACATAATAAATTAATAATTTAAGCAACACATGCGTGATTGAAAGAGGACTGGTTCAAAGTAACAAGAGCGGTCCTGCGTGGATTCTGAAGTCTAAAAATGAAGAGAGAATTGACGTTAGCACTTCCTCTGCTCATCCTCTTCTCATGCTGCCTCGTATTTCTTAACCTCCGAAGCCCTTTTGATCGTCTTCCGCTATGGTCTCATTCTCATTTCTACCCCGGCGACACCCTCCAACGTTGTGATTATTCCAACGGACGCTGGGTTTGGGACGAAGCTTCCTCGCCTTCTCGTTCTTACAATGAAAGCTGTCCATTTCTGGATCCTGGCTTCCGCTGCCGCCTTAACCGTCGACCCGACGAAACTTTCCGGCGTTGGCGGTGGCAACCTCACGCCTGCCACCTCCCCCGGTAACATCCTTCTCTTTTTCATATTGTTCTTAGTGTGGATAGGCTTTCATATTCTCGCCATTGTTACTGCTCTTTTCCGAAACTTGTGTTCCAAGAGCACCGCATTAAAGGATCTATTTACATTGTTACGGGTGGAGGAAACAGTTATGAACATAAATACACTGACCCAGTCAGATCCTAATATCCAGCATGGCATTGGTGTCAGGTCTAACCAACACCTGTATGCTCCCCTAACAACTAGCTGCTGCCTAAAATGCGCGCGCGCATACACACACATCAAAACGCGTCGGTTTACACAGATGATTTCTCTATTTGATGGACCAAGTACACGGTGTTTTCACTGTCACGGAAGGAAAATCAAACATCATATATATGGTAAAAAAAAAATAGTTAGATGTTCAAATAAAGCAGATAAGATGGTAGGATTAATAACAAGTGGAGCTGAAACAGGGCTGTGCCTGATTGTAACGAAGGTGATATGTGAAGTCATGACCACTTCTCTTGCAGATTCAATGCCACGGACCTTCTGGAGAGAAGTCGGGATGGACGCATTGTGTTTGCGGGTGATTCAATGGGGAGAAACCAGTGGGAATCATTACTGTGCATGCTAGTTTCAGCAGTGTCTAATGCATCCACAATCTATGAGGTGAAAGGCAAGTCCATAAACAAACACAAGGGTTACTTTTCCATGCGATTCCAAGAATTCAACTTGACAGTCGAGTATTACAGGACGCCATTCTTGTCCCTCTTAGCCTCTCCGCCTCCCACTTCACCCCATCGAGTTCAAAAGGTCATTCGCCTCGACAAGTTGCACTGGTATTCCAATATGTGGGTTGGAGCAGATGTCCTTGTTTTCAATTCTGCCCACTGGTGGAACCCTGATAAAACCACTAACTTGTACGACAATCCAAACCCTCCTCATCTTATTTCATTAGTTCTTTACTATTTGATTGGCTGATTTCAGATGAACTTGGTTTTTGTTTCTCAGGGGATGCTATTTTCAAGAAGGGGCCAACGTAAACATGAGTATGGATGTGAAGGAAGCGTTTAGGAGATCGTTACAGACATGGAAATCTTGGGCATTGAATAGTTTGGATCCTGACAAAAGCTTCATTTTCTTCCGCAGCTTTTCCCCTGTACATTACAGGCAAGTGCATTGCTTGACGTAGATTAAGAAACTGATGAATTATAAATCCAGATGAATTCCTGATTTAAGTCTGGGTCGGTGGAAATTGCAGGGGTGGCAAATGGAATGAAGGGGGAGGTTGCGACAACGAAACAGAACCAGAGAAGGACCTGACGAGAATTGAAACAGAACCATGTAGCAGTGACATTGTCATATCTGAGGTTGTGAAACAGATGGATTATGGGAAGTGGAAAGTGCATTTTCTGAACATCACGAATCTGTCAGAGATAAGGAAAGATGGCCATCCTTCAAAGTACAGGGAAGAAGGCACTCCACCTGGCGCTCCACAGGACTGCAGCCACTGGTGCTTACCTGGAGTGCCTGACACGTGGAATGAACTTCTCTATGCACAACTCATCTCCAAGCAATTTGGAATCAGCACAAGAACACAGAAAGAGGAAAACATAACCAAGTACTCTAGCTAGCAGATAGACCTGTCACTTTGCAAAGAATGTGCACAGAATTTGCATACCTGAACGTAGTGGACTCTTCCAGAAACAAGATATGCTGTATGGCTTATTGATTTGGTCAAGGATGGAACATTTACGTTGGAGCAAAAGTGATGAAGTACATTACAGAACTTAGCTGGTGCATAAATGTGAATTACTGCAGATAAGGCTGCATTGGAAGCTGCACAATAACCAATGAAAAGGATTGATATTTATCTGGAGAATTGATTGCATTTCTTCACCACATCTTGAAGTAGATGATATGCCAGACAAACAGTGTAGCTTTTGCAGGCAATCTGTACGTTGTTGGTCACTACCTGCACAACAGTGAAGAGAGATGGGTTAGTTTTGTACTTTTGTGCAGTCCACCTTCGTGATTCACTTTCTTTATATTTTGTTCTATTGAGGTACAAAACTACATATGTTTAATTAAATGAAGATAATAATTAATAAGGTTGATTTTAGACACGGAAATGATCTCAACCAAATGAAATAACCTGCAGAACGCGATATTATTCTGGTTATATATGTTAAGGCCGAAAGCTATTTCCAATTAATGGATCCTTCCTTTTGAGATTTGTGATATTTCGTCCGGTCCAATGCCAAAGAGGCGTCCGTTGGACGTTCTACGTGAGGGTGATGAGCCGAACAAAATAACTAGGATTTACTTCAATACTTGAGGTTGAAACCACAAAAAAAAAAAAAAAAACATATAAAATGATGTAGAACAGGTTTCTTGTATCTCTTTCAGAGAAATTTGTGAAGGAACTATTTGGAGCAAATGCTGCAGATAATTTGACTAGAATGACTCAAATAGGTCATAGTATGTAGAAGATGCAGTGATCAGTTCGTTGCTTACGAAAGCAAATATGGCACCTTCTATGGAAGATGATGATCTCCTGGATGCTATTGCCGCTGTAGCACGTTCCTGGGTTCTCGCACATGGATACAAAGAGGGGAAAATGACAATTTAGGAGCTCATAAGACTATTATCTACAATTAGGGATATTAAATTATTAAAATCATAATAATAGATCATAGTTCTTAATTGAAATTAAAAATATAAATGAGTTTACAAAATTACCCTTTGTAGAGAACAGCTAATCAATTCTCACCTGAAAAATAAATAAAAAAAATGCACTGCTAAAATTATTATTATAGGTTGAGATTATTGTTAATTTCAATTGAAAAACTATTATCCACACTTGAAAATGGGTTGTTTTTCAATATGAAACTAAAAATCATTTTTGAAATTTTTGAAATCACTTGTAAATATGTGATTGTTACTTAAAAATTTATCAAAGTGACTTTTAAATATGAAGTCAATTATTTATGTATTTTTATGTTTGTCAATATATAAGTAAAACACTTGAAAAATCAAGAAAAAACAATACTAAAACTATTATAATGGGTTAGGGATTATTGTTAATCTTAGTTGGAAAAAGTAGAATCTCAAATATTATGAGTTGAAACTATTGAAATTACTATTATGCGTTGTGACTATTGTTAATCTAATTTCCAAATGAGGTTAACGATAGTACCAACTTGATTGCTCCTGCAAATACATAAGATTGATATGGTAATGATTTTTGGAAAATTTCAAAAGTCGCATTAAAAAAAAGCAGTTAGCTTTTTTATTTATAAAAACAAATAAGAGTTCTAAAAAGATATTTAATATTTAATAAAAGAACATAAATAAAAAGTAACAATAAAAGTGATGAACCAAACCTCTCAGATAAGCGCCAATGATCAAGATTCACCTATCAATTTAGTTTACTCTAATTCAATTAATTATCTTTTCTTTATTTATAGTGACAGCTGTTATTAAGGTATTCTAATTATTTCTCAGTATATTAAAACATATCTATCTAATGTTACATTAGTTTTCAGTAATTCTGTTAAAATTTTAAATAAATCATGAAGCTATGATCTAAACCATCATAGATTCTAAATTATTTTTAATTTAGTTATATATGTTTATCTCTCTAGATTTAGGCTAACTTTTTACCTCTCAGTTTTTCAAATAGTCCAAAAATAAATTATATACTAGCTATATATATAAAAAGGCATAAAGGATAACAGAGATAAATATACATAAAACAAAATTCTCAAAAACTTCATGTTCAATGGAAAAATAAAATAATCAAATAAAAAAAAAAATTTATCTCAGTTAGGTTATTCTTTATCTTCTTTGGGAGTTTAAAACAACTTATAGAGTTCAAATTAAAAATCCTAAATAGTGACATGAACATAATCTAAAGAAAAAGAGAAGAGAGAACACTAAGAATAACTCGTCTGGACTCTATACACTTTCGAGCTCTTAAAATGAAATTGGTCGATTTGAGAGGCTTTTGAGAAATTTATTTATAATTAATTCGTCTGGGCTTATAGTCGGATAGATTACTTCTAATCTTGTATGATTTGCTGATATCTGATTTAAAATCTTATTTAAATATTAATTCTTATAAGCCTTACGTCCACACGCAATCGGGCTAAAGTTTATCCATGTCTGTGTGTAGTTGAAGGTCAAAGCTTGTGTGTCTTGTTTTTCCTCCGCACATAGTCCAAGAGTGACGCTTGGAGATGTCCACGTGCGGTAGAGATTTGTTCCGACATTCCCCACGAGCAATCGTGTTGAGGAACTTTGGAATTACCGCGGTGGATTATGCTTGTGAGCAGAGGAAGTGTTCACAGGCTTGTCCTGCGGTTGGAGAACTCTTTCGGGCTTTGATATTGGGTTTTCATATGCAACTCGTATTTCTGGCTTTTTATATGTTGTTTTCACTTATTTTTCTTAAAAATATTCCAAAATCTTTAAGTGAGGTATTTAATTTAATTTTATTTTTAATTTACACAATAATTAGCCAATATAATAGAAGAAATTAAATATAAATCTAAGTGAAAAAAACACCCACTTATCACAACTCATAAGAGTGATTTCAATAAATAACTTCTCTTCATTTTCAAGTAATGCTTGATGAGTTATATTCTAATTTTATTTGAGGGTAATTTTATAAACTCATATATATTTTTAATTTTAAGTAAGGATTATGATTCATTATTAATATTTTAATAATTTAAAATCTCTAATTGTGATTAATATTTTTATGTGGTTTTTAATTGTAATTTTTTTTAGAAAGGTCACATGATGTCTTTCCAACCTTTTTTGGGAAAGTCAGAAAGCCCATAAAAGTTTCATAACACAAACCCAGTTCTCAGGCCCGAAAAGCAATGTCAGGGTTTGGGTGCAATACGAGTACGATCGTTTTCGTGCAAAATCGTGACGAGGATGATTAGCAAGTTGACAGCTTCGAGAATGCATTATTTGGATATGGTTCTTTCTTCCACATGGCATGTTCCACACGCGACCTTAAGTAAATAATAATTAAAACCTTTGACCCTATAGATGGTGACCAAATTTACAATATTGATGGACGGAGAGAAGAGGGAAAGTCATAAGGACAAATTATCTACGAAACTTGAATCAGAGAGCCAATCTACTTTTGAATATTCGATCCATCATTTGGACCATACAGCTATTTCGCGTGAACTATTCAACTGAAAAGGATAGAGATTGGCAAGTCTATCTAGGGCATAGAATCGCCCCACATATCAGTGGTCACCATGAAGTTTCTCTAGGTGCATGCACCCCTATACATATGGCCATGTATTGAATAAAACGTATATAATCGAGACAAATTAATATGGGACCCAAATGTTGACTAAAGAGAGGGCATGCATGTACAATAAGGAGTTCTATATGTTATTTCTGGTCTAGCCACCTAGTTTTATTTCCTTCCTTCCTTTGACCTCCATGTTTGTGTCTCTACAGATTTTCTGAAATGATTAGCACCAAAGTCAAGCTGCCATACTCGAGTCCTTAATTAACTTCACTGCCCACGAGCTTTGTGATTTCCAATGTCTTATCCCAACCCCACAATCACTATATGACAAAACCAGTTTCACAGAAACAGTGAGTTTCTTTTTCCCTCCTTCGGCATATGCATTCCGTGGAATATGACCCAGTCAGTCAGATACAGCCATTTCTTCTAACTTCTATGCTGATTTTTGCACTCATGCGTCCCAATTGGTTAACATTGGTTATGATTGTGACTTCTAGTTTTGAAATCCCATGCAATTTCTCGCATGGATAGTTTATTTCCTCCTTTAAAATAACTAAACTTCAATACTATTTTTCTTTGTTTTCCCCCCCTAACCATGAGTTATCTACTGGCGGTAGTATATATATGCACGTTCACCCTGGTATGATCTCATATAGGAGCTTGAGGTCCCATTTCTAAATTAAAGAATAAAAGAAAAGTTGTGTGTCTGTATCGATCTTTCTAATTATTTGTTTCCTGGCGACTTGACTTTTTAACGTATCCATTAATTAATGTATTTGTTACTTTTAGGTTAATTGATGGTAAAATTAAAGATAATAAAACCTGGAAGGAAGTTGGCTTCAGCTGTAATGATGAATTAGATTTGTAACGGAAGATTGTTTTTTCAAATATATGCAGGCAGGTCAAATCAGATTTGGAAATTTATGCCCATAAATATAATGAGGTGGCCACCCTACCTTGCGCAGATTCTTGTCTTTTACTCCTGCTCATATATATCATTATCTGACATTTAATATTTAATTACCAATCACAGCTTGCTTCTATTGTCAGCTAAGCCTTTTTTTTCCAACGGTTGAATGTGTTCTTCAAGCTGTGCTTTTCTTCTAGTATCCTTGTCTAGTTTAATTACATTATTTTTGACTTCTCAATTTTTCTGAGTTGATCAGTTATAGGAGCTAGTCTCAAGACCTTGATCTTCTCTATTAAACGTACTTGTTCAATTCACCAAAATTATTTTAGCTATTTGGTTAAGATTGTCACATAGTATTTATACACTCTATTTTTGCTGTCACTTTTGGACGCGGGACTTGGCTTCTATCCATCAAACATACACAACCATTGCTTAGAAATGAAATACATACATACATACATACATACATACATATAAGAGGCATGGCTTGGCTCTTACAGTTTCCTCATAAGAAGTGAAAAGTCTACCTAAAGCCAGTTTGTTTTAGCTAATTTTATAAAAAAATTACTTTTAAAAAATTTATTTCGTAAGTTTTTATCATATTTATTTAAAAATTTAAAAATAATTAGAATAAAAAAATATATTTTTGATTATTTTAATAAGCTACTTGAGTAGTTTTTGAAAATAATTCAATGCAATAGATGAGAAATAATACTTTAAAAAGGTGAAATATGTAAATATATCATTAAACTTTAAAAATATCTTAATAATAAATTTTTTTTATAAAACAAAAATTAAAGAAGTATCATAAAATTTAAAAATAAGTAACTAATAATAACTTTTTTATTATGGCAACCATATATAAAATAATGTCTACTTTTTATAAATTTTAAACTATATAAAAACTATTTATTTTTTAATCTTAAACAAACAAGTCTTTGGTTCCCTCTAGGCCTAAATTAAATGACAAGTTCAAAATTGCTGAGTTAGTTTGTCTCATTGTCTCTTGGATTTCGCCAAGTGATAGTTTTATAAGATTTTAATATATTGTTAGTATTTCATGCATGCATTTTGCCATTTCACTGGCAATATTTTCTCTAATCTTATTTATAAATTATTTATATTAATTTTATTGATACCAAAATAATAAAAATATAAAGAAAGAAAATACGTAAAATTTAAAACATAATTCTCAAGTAAAAAATAAAAAGTAAACAAACCATATAATATTATTCTCTCTCTCACACACACATATTTTTCAAGGTAGTTTGGGATTTCAATTGGAAATAAAACTATTTTATTAGCTAGTGACATATAAAGTGGATCAAATTATACTTATAGAAGGCGCCTAATATACAGGACTGAAAAGAGTAATATTTAATATTTTCAGTACAAACAAATATTTTGGATTTTCATCGCATATAGCGGGAAGAGGAGGAAGAAAAATTGTACCATGGGTGGGATTTTATGGAACCACGAATCGCCCTGAAATATATGAACATTCATATCTATGTATATGGGCGCCTAAAGTTGAATACAAGTACACAAGAAGATCGAATAAGAGCCATCTTACCAGCTAGAGCAGGTCATTTTTTTTTTTTGAGAGCATGTAATTATTGTGCGTGTGTTAAATTATCCTAATACAAAGAATCTGCGAATGAAAATCAAAGTTTGCAAATTAGGGTGCCCAAGAAGGATGGCCAAAGAGATGAACATAGAGAGCACAAGCTTCAAACTTCAAACCAAACGATGCCCCTCTTGATGTGACACTAACCTTTCCCTCCCCACCAAATACGTTAACTGCTTACAATTTTTCTCCTCCTTTTCTTTCCGTCTGCATCTTCAATTACGTGACTGCTTTTGACTCCAGCCTTGCTTGAGTCTCGGTTTTCTGGAATATCTCATTCGAAATTCAAATAAAAGAGAAAACAGAATCTGGAAATAAAAGAAAATAGAACTGGATTTTATGCAGAGTGATCATTAATTTGTGTCCAAACTTCAGAAGCATTTCTTGTCTGTGTTTTTGTTTGTCATGCATGGGGTAGTCACGAATTGAATGACCGTGAACTAATTCATTTAAATGCTTGCTGGAAAATTTTCGTTATTCACGGGATAGTTTGTGGTTTAGTGAACTAACATCGTACTTGCCTGCCAGGTTTCTGGCTCTCGTGATCATGCTGGTCATGATCTGTTCAACCAAAAAGGAAAAATACAGTGCACCGTATTTTCCACATAGTAACAAATTCAATGCTGGATAGTGCCTTGTCTTCTTCCATAAACTTAGCTTTTAGAAAATTTTCAGTGATTTAAAAACCAGATCAAATTGATCGGACCGTCGAGCAATTTGAATTCAACATATAAAAATCACTTTAAGGTTGAGTCAAGTTGGATCATTTTAGACTAATGGTTAGACTAAAAATCAGTCCTGATTTTTAAAAATTTGACTGTACAAAAAATTTCTTTTTATCAATTTTTTTAAAAATAATTAATTTTTTTATCATTTGGTGTTATGTTTATCATGTGTGACTTGTTAAATAATAATAAAATTAAAATATTTAATTTTATTTTTAAATTAAGTAAAAAAATTTATTTATTTCTTCGGTTTTTTAAAAAAATTGAAAATTATATCAACCTATTCGAGTTGGACCTTAAGGAGCCAGCCCAATGAAATTGACCTGAGTTGATTAAAAATTTGACCGGAATAAATTTTCTACCATTGGGTTAAGTTTGATTGGTGAAGTCATGGCCCCAGTCCATTACAATCCAAGAATCCAAATCATCTTCTCTCTCCCTCGATTTCTGACACATATACCATGTCTTTTTCTCCAATTTTACTTTTGTCGTCGAACTTTTTTATACTGTCATCTCTGCTTTCATCGTTTTACGCCTTTATTTCAAGTATCGTAAATTAATATAAAGTGCTACTCTATTTTTCAACAAGCTGGTTTAAAAAAAACCAGGGATGCATTGTTATCAATTTATTATTTAAACGGCCCGCAAAGCAGCAATGCAACGATATCCCCTAATAAATCTTTTATCCATAATATAAGTAATTTGAACCAGGTTTTTATTATGGCGGTCAACTTGAAAGATGTACCTTCAATCAATAGTAATATTGCATGACCGCGCCCCCGGCCGGGGGGTAAATCATGCGGAAAAAACTGAAGTGCCAGACTATTCGACAAAGACATTATACAAATCATGGTTTTAAAAAGCTTAAAAATTACTCAGTTTCTTTATTCATATATTTATATATATTTTAATAAGTCGTCCAAAAAGATAATGAAACTTTTTTTTCTGATGTGTGTAGTTGCAAGAGAAGTAAAATGTATGTACTATTTACTATAGCAGTAAGTCTTAGAAAAATGCAAAAGCCTGTCTCAAAGTTTTAGTCACATGTTAATTATAGTAATAAATTTATAGATGTGTATATGAATTTCAAAACCGAATGTTGTACCAAGAACGGAACTGTACATAATTAAGTGTATACAATTATTAAAGCTGACCAGGGTATCAAGTTTATGTATAATAAAGGAGCTACATAATTGAGTTGAGATGATCTTCAATAATTTCGAAGGGAGAAAAAAAGTAGTGAATGAAAGAAATCAGTACAATTGTGAATTAAAGTTGCAAGAAAGGGTGGTCCATGTATGGGTTAACCCTAATTATAAAGAGGGGTGAAGTCGAGACTTTATAAATAAGCATGTACATGTACGGGTGAACTTGAAAAAGTGGAAGAAAATAAAATTAAATAAAGCAGCCCACATAGTTCCAAATACAAGTTGATTCCGGTTAGACGAAGACAAGAAGAACAAACCTTATTCTCCTGTTCTGGCAATACTCAAATCCTGGAATTTTCTATCCAAAAATACTCTTCTTTTCTGCCACTCCCTTTACATAAAATATTTATATCTCTACACTGTGTGATGGATGTTCTTTGGAATCATGTCTATCCCCTTCTAGCTGCTTTTTTTATATTATAATCATTCTCTCTCTTATTCAAGGACTGTAAAAGAGAGGGCTGATTAAAGCCATTACCTCATTTCTCCAAGACTCTTAACTGATCAGAGAAATTTAACACACATCGAAGAAGAAGAGATCAGAACATGGGGAGGGCTCCGTGCTGCGACAAAGCAAACGTGAAGAAAGGACCTTGGTCCCCAGAAGAAGATGCCAAACTCAAGTCCTACATTGAACAGCATGGCACTGGTGGAAACTGGATCGCTTTGCCTCAAAAGATCGGTACTACATATTATTTACACACAACCCTTATGTACGCGCGCGCGCGTGTGGATTTCTCGTCTACTCCTTCTTCTTTTCCTTTATGTCTCTGCGATTTTCTGTACACTAACACTGGGCAAATCAGGAATTAACTCCTAAAATGAAAGAAAGTATGAGAAGTAGGAACTTTTTTTCGTTTAGATATTTGAGGATTTCAACATATAAATGAATCAGGGCTAAAGAGATGTGGGAAGAGTTGTCGACTGAGGTGGTTAAACTATCTTCGACCAAATATCAAACATGGGGGTTTCTCCGAAGAAGAAGACAACATTATTTGCAGCCTCTACGTCAGTATTGGAAGCAGGTATATATACATATGATTACTGATTATATAGTTGTTTTGGTGCAACCAATTAAGTTATTCAGATTTGAATCTTGGAATGAAGTGAAGGGTTTAATCAAGTTGATAATATATTGTATTATATGGTGAAATTAAGCAGGTGGTCGGTGATTGCAGCACAATTGCCAGGAAGAACAGACAACGACATAAAGAACTACTGGAACACTAAACTGAAGAAGAAGCTTCTGGGTAATAAGCACCGTAAAGATCAACAATCACGTAGTAAAAGCAAGCAGGAAGGAGCTAATAGGATCACCTCTTCCAATTCCTTTCTAGTTCCTGAAAATTCTGCAAACACTACTTTTCCACAACTATATTGGCCACCACACATGCCTGTGATATCTCCCTTGCAATACTCAAATCAAGACCCATGTTTCAACGATCAAGATTCCATCAAAAAATTGCTCCTCAAACTGGGAGGAAGATTTTCCGACGAGGATGATCACGATTATCACCCTACCCTCGATGCTTTGAATATTAACCCCAATCTATTCTCAGATGGTACTCCCTGCACTCAACCAGTTTGTGAAGAACAAGCAAATATGGCTGCTTCTTCTTCTAGCATGATCAATAACGGAACAATGGTTAACAGCAACCAGATAGAATTGGCCCGAGAGACAGGACTTGAGGAGATAATAGTATGCAGTAATAATACTTATGCTTATCCACAAAGATTAGATGGACTGGAACTATTGTTTGGGGACGACATGGTGATGGTCAATGAAAAGGTAGCCCCACCTGAAGATACCAACTCGCTCGTTTATCAATCTTTTATTCCTTCCAATAACCAGTTCATGCCACAACACACACCACAACAATGTGCTTTCCCAGATTTAAGGTTTAACCGGCCATAAGTATTTTATCATCACGGTAAACGGCCAGAGGAAACCTTGTATTTTTCATTCCGTAGATAATACACAATCTGCGATGCGTAGGTATCGATCGGTTTGTCCGCTTTATTCTCATGATTGTTCCATCAGTACTGCTCACAACTTGAGGTTTGGTAATTTAATTACACTTGAGCTGTATTTGGACTGCTATAATATGTTAATGATATAATATTTTTCCTGTGCCTCACTAGAAATTTGCAGCAAAATGCACACCCTATAGCTACCTAATTCCTGAATTCAACTACAGGTTAGTTCATCTCTAGCTTCTAATTAATTTTGAGAAATAAAAGATTCATTTTCCTGATCCACTGACTGCGCCCATTAAGATCAGCATATCTTAATTACGCATCTTATAGGCTAGAATCATCTGCGTGTGCCTGTTCTGTTAGAAAAAAGAATATATAAAGAACATGGCACGAGTCCTATATGAAAGAATTAATGGGCAAGTAGTCATAGGGATGAGGCATGCACATTGCATATATATATATATATATATATAATGGCTAATTTTTCAACGGCTGCATTTTGTTGCATATATATTTCCAGTTAAAGGTTAAGGCTATATACATGTGAATTTGCTAACTAATGATGAAGAGGTACAGAATGATTATTTTGTAATGACCATATAGTGTTCGGGCTTCTCTTTCAATATTTGCATCATTAAGCTTTCAACGTCACCGTCCAAATAATTTCACCACTGAATGTGGTTTTTTATATATACATGACACGAGATTTACTGCTAGCTACTGTATATACCTCTAACTGTATTCTGTATTTTCAATTAACTGACGATTAGACACCTATCCACACCTTAAATAACTCTTTTTCTTATATATGTTAACTGATAACTGCAAAAAGTGGATTTTTTTTTTATTTCGTAGAACTATATATAATTGGATCGTTTGAAAAGAACCCCACATGTGTTTATTAAGAACTTAAGGCCAAACACTTGGAAAATTTACTTGAGCCATCTTTTGTGTGAAAAGTGAAAATGTCTAGAGTAGTTTAATACTTGAATGTGTGTGTGTGTGTGTGTGTTTTGTATGTAGTGGTACAATACATTTACATGATGACCCAAGACAAGTTCCTAAGGTAGTTTACAAGATGAAATGCAAATGGGAATTAAAACTTAATTACTGTTAAGTTATCCAAATATAAATAGATTTAAATTGACATAAAAAGTTCCACATTGAATAAAAATATATAATAAAAAATTACTTATAAATTTGAGCACTAGAGTTTTGAGTTAATATATAGAATTATTCTATTATTTTTGCCCGTTTGATTATAAAAATTTTATAGTTAAACCTTGCCCCTCTATAAACAGAAGAAGAAGAAAATTTGACTCCCCATAAAGTAGTCCTCAGTCCGTCACTGAACAAACTTCTAAGTTTGTGTAAATAGCTTATTTGCCATTAATTAGCTAGTATTATATGTCAGTGATCATACATCTTAAACTTTTTTAATAATTAATGCATATAGTCCTTTTAACATTGATCATTTATGTGCGAATAATTTCTTAAAAATAAGTAAACTAATTCTGGTAGGTTGTCTGTATGAAATATTTTCAAGTTTTAAAGATTAGAAAATTTATTAATAACCCAAAGTTCAAAAAGATTATGCATAACTGGAGTTTTCCGGCGTATCATTTTACTGTGTTGTGCACCGGTGCACGGGTCGGGATGGACAGTAAATCATTGACATTTTATACATAAATTATATATATAAGTTAATAGCAAGTGGAAAATTTAAATTTAAATTGCAAAGTAGTTCCAATATGATGAACACTATTTAGCTTTTGTTAATTTTAATATGTTCTTAGAGGAATTTTAAATAAAAATATATTAATTATCTTGAAATTTTGTCAATTCTTTTTTAAATTGTACGTTGAGATTTTTTTTAAATGTCTTATAATATGAAATAGAAGGAGTATAAAGCAAAGGAGAAAAGCCATTGTAGTGCCATGCATTTACATTAGTTGGTTGGGGTTGGTTATGTTAAGTTTAAAAAATATCCAAAAAAAAAAAGAATAAGCAACCCATAGACTTATAGTTTAATGGAATACAAACTTTTATATAAATGAGAGGTGGCAGGATTCTCATATCATTAATGCTTACACTTCTAAATAGAAAAAAATGGAATGGGAGAATCTCATTTAGGGCTTTTAGAACACAAAAATTTACATTTAAGATCTAATACACTATGAAGATTCTTTGAAAACTTAAGGGCCTTAAATGAAAATATATTTTACTAAAAAAAGACACATTTGTCCTCCCTTTCTTTTGAATGCATAACATAATGTTCATAAATTTTTAACACAATGTCCTATAATGTACAATTGATCTAATAGAAATTGTTTAACTTGAAATGTGCAAGATAACATAATAACATATATTCATGAATACACAACACAATGTCAATAAAATCTCAATACAATATCCTATAATGTACAATTGATCTAATAAAAATAGTTTAACATAACTTGAAATGTATTAGTTATGCAGGATGAAAGAATAACATAATGTCCATGAATACACAACATAATGTCTTATAATTGACGACAAAATGTCCAAGGATAAATGCATCTTTTTTTATTAAAACATATTTCTACTTAAGGCCTTTGGATTTGTAGAGAGTTTTCAAATTGTATTGAATCGTAAATGCAAAATTTTGTGCTGTGGAGTACTAAGTGAGATTCTCCATAAAAGAAAAGCAGATAAAGGGAAAACCAACGTGAAGTTATTTTTTATTAAAAATAATTATATTTAAATTACAGTCAAATACTAAATATAAATATAAATTAAAATTACTGAAAAATATTAACCCAAGCCTCAGTTTAAGAGAGAGAGAGCTTGTTTGATAATTTAACAATTTCACCCTTTTTACTTTAAGTTTTTTTCCCAAATAAAATGATTTTGCAGTGGATTAAAAAAATCTATATTTAACTTTAGCGTTTGATTTTTTAGATGTTTTGTTTTCTCTAACTCGCTACTTTACCCCCCCCCCCCCTCTTTCAAATGGATAATCTTCTTTATTTCCGAGTTGATTTTTTTTTTTAAGTGGTGCGGTAATTCTCAGCTAAAGTCAAATATACTAATATAGTTGGTGAATCTTCTTAACGACAAATTTGATTGTATATCTTCTCCACCCAACATTACAAGACATTTATTATGTTTAAATATTTGATTAAAAAAATAATCTACCAAGTCATCTTCATCAATATTGCCACCAATTTTGCGATATTTATTTTGATCAGCATACAAAATGCAAGGAATTGGAATCCAAAGCAAAATATTGCATATTCACAAAATTATTACTTTTCGTATTTGATCTGTTTACTTGATGTATAATTTAGCGTTACAAAAATATAGTAATAAAAAATCAAAGTTAAAACCTCTCTCTACTTATATATACATACATATATAGAGTGTTCAAGTGTGAATACACTTGAGTTGAGTTGAAAAATCTCGCATTAGATAAAATTATGTTTAAATGCTAACATAATATAATAAAATAAATGAATTCATAAATTTAAATATAGAAATTTTGAATTAAGATATGATATATACTATTACTTTTCGTTCATTTGTGTTTTCTCCTATTTGTGTTTCCTAACCTCGTGAGGTGAGGAAAGCTTGAAACCATATCTCCCTCATATGAATCACATATGTACACATGTATTCAAATCCTACCCAAAATATCTTAGCAAGGAGGGATGAGTTAGTTAAGTATACATGTAATCAAATCCAAACGAAAACAAGACATCAAGACTCCAGTGTTGGGCTGACTTTCACCACACATAGATCTGGTACGTTTCTAGATTTCGTAGACAAAGGATGGAAATTTAATAAACAGCAACGATTTAAATCGGCGATATTACATCCACGCAACAAAGGACCTCCCTACACACTTCTGACACGTTTGCTCACAAGTTCAAAGGTGTGGTATATATGCTATTTAATTAATCTCAATGCCGATCTATTTAGTTGATTACAGTTGTCACAATATAATATAAATTTATTGAACTTTTTGTTGACTATATAGATTTTCTGGTAAGCTATGACTAGATCGTTAAAACAAAGAGACGTATTTTGAAAGTGTAGCTGATGAGCTAACGATTCTCACAGTAATTTCAAACTAATTAGGCACCAACTCTTCGTAATTGCGCGCTGTCTCTCTTGTTTTCAAAATGCATCCTTCCAGTTGATCGTTTTGTTTTGGCCCAATCTTTTTAGTTCACCCTCAAGTTGCTAGAGTGCGTGCCAGGGGGAAATATGTGTGTGCTGAATCCGGAAATAAATTACACAAAATCGATTCAATTTATTATAGAGAAAGTTGAGAGAGTAAATTAGAAGGGAATATCCCTAAACCAGAAAAGAACTCAACAGAAGAATCCTTGAACAAAAAACCAAGGATTTAAGACTTTGAGTTGTGACAGTGAAAACATTATATTTTGTGTCGATTTTACGAGGATAGTATGCATCAAAACAACATCCGTGATTGAAGCCCGGAGCCCTAGCCCGGACAACTGCCAAACGACAAGTTCTCTCACTACCTCCTTAATTTTTATGTATATTATTAAGGAAATTCGTTTCTTTAGGCACTGATAAATGATAATGACACTAACATGACAATAATTTCTTCAGCGTCAGAACCTGACAATCATGTTTCCGTTGCTATTTCCTTTTCTTAATTGTTCCGGAATAACTGCAATGCATGCTCAATGTCGTAAATTATTCCTTTCCTTTTTAACGAGCAAGATAACCGACAAATTAAAGGTGGCACGCGTATCTTTTAATTAATTCTTTATTTACTCCTATCTTATCTGACATTAATTCCTCATCACAACTGGGTTGATGTATCTGCGCTATACTCCTATCTTAGAAGTCTGGTGAAAACTGGCACGGGCATGGTTGTAACTTGTAACTTGTCTTTAAATTTTTTGCTTATGATGAATGTGGATTTGGATGACATAGAATGGTGATCTTGAAGTGGGTGGTAAAATTAATAAATATGGATTTGTTTTTCTTGTCTAAAAAAATGTTACTGTCATAATTTCATGCGGCAGTAATGCCAACAATAATCATCTCAAGACGTGAGATGAAAGTCATGGTACAAGAGAAAGAAGGAAGGCAAAGATGAGAGTCATTGGCCACCGGCTGCCGTTGGCCACTAATCAGCCGCGGGTTAAACAAATATATTTTATTTTAATAATTTTTATTTTTTATATTAAAAATTTAATTTTTACAAGTCAACTTTTTATATTTGTAAATAAAGTTGCGTCATTCTCAGGCTAAATCTAATAATTTTAATGTTTACCAGTGAAACTTTCATATTTACAAGTCAAATTGCATTTTTTACAGTTAATCGTGTGTGCGTTTTTCCCACAATTGCGTAAGTCTACAAAATTTGAGGGGAAAAAAGCACATTATTAGTTGTAGATGACACAATTTTACTTGCTGATATAAAAGTTTTACTTATAAATATTAAATTGTTCAATTGATTTTGTAAATAAAAATTTGACAAGTAAATATTTGAATTAAAAACTAGTAAAATAAAATATATCTATTTGATCGGCTGCAAATTGTCAAAGGTTAAGGGCATTCTAAATATCTAATCATTTCACAAACTTTTTCCGATTACTCCCAAATCCATCAAGACATATTGGGATTAAGTGAATTTCAGAGGATCTATTTACATTTTTCTCACCTGTGATCTATGGGTAATTTCCTCTTAAAAAGAAGATATGAGTTGATTTCAAACTAAATACAAAGACAATTTAGTTAAATAAAATCGTCTAGATGGAGGAGAAGCAGCTCAACCTGAAAGCTTGGAAACGCAATTCGACAATGATTGACTGTCCGCTACTTCAGCCAAAATCGAAATCAAAATAGTCCTTAAATATGGTTCAAAATACTTGTCATTTCAACCTCATGTACAGATATATTTGATGGAAAACATCAATCGAACTGTGAAAAATAAATTTTTATTAATTGAATTATCATTATAAATAACTTTTATTAACTGAATTATCAATATAAACATTTTTTTTAGTTTATGGATTCTTTTTCAGCTTTTTGGCCTGAGCTCAGCTTATTAATCCAGTTTTTGCATTTCTTGACATTTTCTTGTAAACATTTAAATGATTTTTTTTTGGCATTTACAAAAAATCATAAAAATTATTTTAAAAAACTGTTCAAGTCATAAGTAGCCATAATCTTCAACTTATTATCTGACACGTCATAAAAAGAAGCTTCATGCTCAATAATTTTATATTAATTTACTCAATGTTATTAGAGCTAAATTCGCTATTGAATCGGTTGAGGCACTGGTTTATAATTCAAAGGTCAGATTAGAGTTGAATTGGGCATGAATCATTTATAATTAAATTAATATAATTTAAATATTATATTAATGTTTTTTTTTCCAAACCCCCATCTTTCTTCTTCTTCTTTTTTGAGTGTTTTCTTTCTTCCTCCTCTTGACTAACCTGTGTAATATCCTTCAACTAATCAATATGGAGATAAATCTTGGCTTTCCTAAATATTGTTTCCCTCCCAAATGACTTTGTTAGCGCCATCGTTGACTTTGCCTTTATTATAACTAGAAGCCGCTCTATATATCCATGAACAGAAAGCTCTCCTAAATGAGTAAAAATTCACTTCAACTTTTTTTTTTTTACCAAAGAAAAATTCACTTCAACTTGAAATCATCAAAATGAACAAGTAAATTTAACTGATGGGGTGCAACGTTGTACATTTATAGTTGATTCAATTAAAAAAAATGTATAAATTACCACAATACATAGTGGTGAAAAACTTGTAAATGACTTACAACTATATCAATCTACCTATCAATCAATCGGATCAATGTCCACCCACCACCATCATCTCCATCTTCTTCTTTAACCCCTCTTGCTGTTGCTGATAACCGTACTTTATCTCTTTCACTAGAGTTTGAAACTCATAGGTGCATGAAAATTGCCCTACTGAAGTGAATCATATTAATTAATTTTTCTATTTCTTCTCAGATATCCAAAATGATATACAAAAGAAGAACATGGATGAAGCAAAAAGGACCACCCCAAGAAGGAACCAACAGAACCAAACTGTTGCCGCCACTGCCACTGCCGGTGACGACGCCACCATGAGCATTGGGGCTAATCGTTGATGTCGGACATCAAAGAAGGAAGAAGTGAAGAGCACGAAAATAGCTTAGGGTTTGCCGATTTAGGTTTGGGAAGAATTTGGATTCCATTTGCGTGTTTCCGTTTTGGTTTTGTCGGTCACAAAATAGAATTTTTTTTTCAAAAAAAAAAAAGGCCAAACGATGTCGTCTTGCCAAAACTAAGGAGAAGAAAAGGAAAATAGTGAACCATCTAGATCGCTTGAATTGTTGGTTCTCCCAATTTTACTCAGTTCTTAGGCAGTTCAAGGGCGGTTCTCCCTTCCTCGATTGTGCATCATTTTCGGACCGAATACCTAGCCAGTTCCTAGTTGAACTAACTGAACCGTCTGTTCCGATTCTCATAATTATGAATTTACTTGATATTTCGACCATGATTGAGTAACCATAGTGAAGAACTTTGATATTGTGATTGTGTAGTATTTGAATTCACCAGGAAGATCAAGATCTTAGCAAAAGTGCAGACGGAGAATATTATTCATACAAATTAAAATTCTCACACCTAAACGATCTTTATAAGCGCATTTGGAATAATATTTACGTACAACAATACATTTTTGACCAACTAAGTACAATCATACATTAACGGTGACTTCTTGTTAAAACAACAAAAAATGGTTGACCCAAAAAAAAAATGAAAAAGAGCAGCAACATAACTAGAATTTGTCTCCCTGTGTTGAGCTTAAGGCCCTTCATTTACATATGTCGGCGTGACGCAACATAAAGCAGCCTTCCTCACTACTATACTGATGAATAATATTTACAGCGAAAGAATTTTGTACATTCTGCAAGCTATAGAACCTAAGTATTAAGAGGAAGCACACGGTGGAGATGGATGCGATATGATTACTGGGACGCAGAACTTACCTACGGCAAAATCTATTTCCCGCTTTTTTCCTTTCACTAGTGTAAGTGTCTTGAGATGGTATTTACCATGACTGACACAGAAGCTTGACGACTTGATGCACCCACCTTAGCGGGCATGGCACGGCAACTCCCAGCATTTAAGGGCGAGAAAAAAAGAAACTCATTAATTCCCATCAATTACTGAAATTGCCGTGGCTGGACTGCCATGTACTGGTCATGATTCATCGTTTTGGCTGTGGGTTGCCTGAAATGAGAAAAGAATTGAGTCCTTGTGTTGGAGATAAGAGGGTGAATCCCGAATCACTGGATGTGCAGATGAGACAAACCTGTCTCCGAAGTTTCTGAAACCTGATTTGACCCCTCCAAGTCCTGGCCACGCGTATTAGTGGAAAAATCAGAGTCAGGCGTTGCCGAAGTAAACTGGCAGTAGGCTGCATGCAACTGATCATATATTTCTTCCATCTTTCCAGCATGCTCATCTCTCCTATCCATGTCAATAAGAACCTAGAAAACAAACTGCATATCAAATTCAAATGGGAGAAACAAAGAGAGACAAGAAGGAAGACTCAGGGAGATAGATAGATAAACAGATATAGAGTGTTTCAACCTGAGTTGAATTGTCCTTGAATATTGGGAGAAATCGCTGCCTACAGTACTCGTGAAATAGAATAGTAAGAATCAGCAAAGGAACGGTAAATCCGGATGCAACAGTTGAGCGTTTCATGCCAAACACCCCAAGAGCAACTATTTGAGTGAAGATCAATGCAAACACTGTTGTGTTATGAGCAATGGGCCAAAACTCTCCGCCACTATCATATTTTGTAACATACACGTTGATAAGCTGAAAAAACGAAAATAAATGAAACAGAACATCACTAATGATGGCCCGCTTACAGTCCTGGTACAAGCATTTCTCCACCATTGATTTCTTTCCAATAGCAAGAAACTATTGAGGCCCGATTGCATAGAATATAAGTGTAGATATAGATCCCAAGAGATAAAAATAGAAAAATCAGGTTCTACTCACATAGAGGCTAACAAAAATCAAGTTGCTGTTTTCAATCCATAGAATTTCTAGTTTCTGGAGTTGCCAATTGAACTTTAACATAAAAGGTCCAAAAAAACAGTAGCTGCAAACAATTGGCAAGTCTTAGACCGCTCTTTTCTGATAGAAGGGAGAGAAAGTTTAGATCCCATGTGCTACGTGGGCCACACGCAACATTGATTCTCAGTTCTCATCTTCCTTTTCCAATTATGTATAGTCTCATAATTAATAAATTTATGGACAAAAAAAGTTGCATGCACTATGTAGCCAGCACATTAGCCAGAAAATATGTCCAGACAATCACCACGGAGAATAAGGGTGTTGTGCATGTCTAAGTCCATACGAGACATTGATTATATATTTTTCTTTTACCCAGTACATGATTTTACATTATAAGAAACAGATATAAGCTCGAAGAACTCCATGAAGGATCAAGAAGACAAAATCTGATAGAAGTACTAACCTGGTTTTTGTAAACAAGGTAACCAAGGAAGAAGTAAATCAGTAAGAAGGGTATTATTAGGGGTGCTAGAATAGAACAGGTGAACCCGAGGAATGCAAACAGTAAAATCCTTGGGGTTTCGGTATGGTATGGAAAAGATGGAGGGCCCATCAGTGAATCATCCTTACATCTGAGTATATATCTCTGGAACCAAATCAAGAAGAGAGAACAAATTTGGATAAGTTCACTTGCCAAACTTGCCCAACCAGATGATAAAACATAGGTTATGAAGAAGGTGGCCTGGATTTCAAACAAAAAAAAAAAAAAAACACTGTAAGGGGAATATATACATTTTTTTATTTTTAAACTCTACTCATAAGCAGGGATGAAGCAACCAAGAATATAACAACAACAAACTTTATCCTACTAGGTGAAGTCAATTACATGGATTGTAGAATGCCTTTGTACTTTATCATTTACCAAGCTTTTAGGAATGTTATTAATTAAAAGATCACGGCCAACAATTTCTATAAGTTTTCTTTTTTGACCTTCCTCTATCCTTCTTAACAGGACTTAAAGTTATCCGTTCCACTCTCTTCATCGATGCCTCCAGTGATCTTTGTATATGTTCAAACTATCTTAAACAATTCATTTTTCTCTCAATAGATACTACGCCCACTTTTCCTCCCATATTCTCATTTCGAATTCTATTTTTACATGTATGCATGCAAATTCATTTCAACATTCTCATCTCTACCACTCCAACATCATGCTCTTGTTATCCTGTTAAAGCCTAACATTTATTACCATATAACATAACTATTTTTATAACAATTCAATGAAACTTCCATTTAAGTTTATTAGCTACCTTTCGATCGCAAATAACTTTTTTAACCTTTCTCCAATTAAACCACCCAACTTATATCCTATGTGCAACATCCCCATCAATTTCCCCTACATTGAATAATAGCTCCCAAATATCTAAACTTTTTCACTTTAATATAATCTGATCTCTCAATTTCACTTGAAGTATACGAAGTAAACAAGAATGCTCCAAGTAAAATAGGATTTTATTTATTTTATTTTGATAGAGAGGAACTCCACCTTTGTTTTATAGCCAGTCCCAAGTCTAGATAAAAGAGGAGGGTTGTGTTTGGCCCTCAATAGCCAACATAAAATTTTGTTGAATCACATGTGAGTATAGACAATAGACGTTTTTGTGCTAATGCTAGGTCATTGCCCGTAAGTAACGCGCTACATGGCTAAAGTGCAATGATAATTGAGTTAAGGCCACTGCATTGACGCCCGGATGTAGTGTTAAATGAGCAAGGGCTACCGCGTTATTATGGACAAGCGCAGCTAAAAAAGTTAGTCCATGTGAGCAAGATCAGACTTGGTACTTAGAATGTTGGGACCTTGACTGGTAAATCTATAGAGGTGGTAGGAGTTATGATTCAGAGAAAAATATTGTGTGCCTATAGGAGACTAAATGGGCAAATGAACAAGCTAAAGATATTCAAGGTTTCAAACTTTGGTACACTGGGAAAATAAACACACACAATGGGGTGAGTATTATTGTCGATAAGGAGTGGAAGAAAAACGTGGTAGAACTTAACAGAATTGAAGATAAAATTATTTCCTTACAATTGATTATCGAACGAGAGATTATCAATATCGTCAGCGCTTATGCACCTCAAGTTGGGACAGAAGCCAGTCTTAAAGAATTATTTTGGGAAAACTTGGAGGGGTTGATTGAAAGCATATCATATAATGAAAAGACCTTTATTGGAGGAGAGTTTAATAAACATGTTGAGAAGGAGGCAGGTCATATACGAGGGTGCATAGTGGTTTGGGTTTTAGGGAACCAAATAATGAAGGACAACATATCCTGAATTTCTCTTTGGCGTATGATTTCATGATTGCTAATATCTTTTTCAAAAAGAGGGATGACCATCTCATCACTTATAAAAGCAGAGCTTCAAGGTCACAAATTGATTTCTTTTTAATAAAGAACACGGAACTATAAGGCAATTCTTAGAAATATTGTTACGACACAACACAAGTTCCTTGTCCTTGATGTATGTATTATGAGTAAAAACCAAAAGCGTCGACAAATAATAACTTCAAAGATTAGGTGGTGACAATTAAAAAGTGAAAAGAGAGAAATCTTCAAAAGAAATCTCTTGGCCGAAGGAATTTGGGAGTGTCAAGGAAGTGCTAATACCATGTGGGAAGACTTGGTTGCCAAAGAAGTTTTGGGAGAATCAAGAGATTTTGGTCCGAGAGATAAGAAGTCTTGGTGGTGGAATGATAGCGTAAAAAATCAAGTATAAAAAGAAGTGTTTCAAAGCCACTCATTTGTACAATAATGATGGAAATTGAGAAAAGTATCGTATAGCTAAAAGGGAAACTAAGAGGATCGTGAGTGAAGCTCATTCTAAAGCATTTGAAGAGTTTTATAATGCTCTTGGAATAAAGGATGGAGAACATAAAATTTATAAAATTGCTAAGAGTAAGAAAAGAAAATCAAGAGATTTAAAACAAGTAAGGTATATTACGGATGAAGAGGAAAATATTTTGGTCACAGATAACGATATTAAAAATAGATGGGAGACATACTTTTCTAAGCTTTTCAATGATGATGGGGGGTCATCAATTAGCTTAGAAGATTTAGTAACTTCTGATTATCGAAGAATACGAGCTTGAAAAATGAGAGAAGCTCTTAAGAAAATGACAAATGGTAGAGCCAATGAATCTGATTGTATCCCTATTGAAATGTGGAAATGTTTGGGTGAATAAGGAGTGTAGTGGTTAACTAAGTTATTTAATGAGATCTTACAATCTAAGAGAATGCTGGACAATTGAAGGAGAAGCATCTTAGTTCCTATTCATAAAAATAAAGGAGATATTCAGAATTATGCTAACTACAGAAGGATTAAACTTATGGGTCATACTATGAAAGAGTGATTGAGTATAGGTTGATATTGAAAATTGAGATTTCAAAGAATCAGTTTAGCTTCATGCCATGGAGAGCGATACAGAAGTGATTTATCTACTAAGGGGATTAATGAAAAAGTATCAACGTAAAGGCAAAGATTTACATATGATTTTCATTAATTCAGAAAAAGCTTATGATCATGTATCGAAAGGAGTACTTTGGAAGGCTTTGAAAAAAAAAGGTGTCCAGGTTGCCTGTATTCGAGCTATACAAGATATGTATGAGGGAGCAACAACTAGTATAAGAATGTTTGGTGGTGAAACAAAAGATTTTCCTATAAAGATTGGATTACATCAAGGATCATCTTTGAGTCCTTATTTGTTTGATCTAGTGTTAGATGTTTTGACTGAGCATATTCAAGAGAAAATTCCTAAATGCATGCTTTTTGCGGATGATATAGTTTTTATTGCAGACAGAAGAGAAGAGATAAATTGTAAACTTGAGTTATGGAGGAAGACATTAGAGTCAAAAGATTTCCGCCTGAGTAGGAGTAAAACAAAATATTTACATTGTAATTTTGATAAGGGGTCAGCAAGTAGTAACTTGGAAGTGAAATTGGGTTATCAGACCATACTTCAAGTGAAAAAGTTTAGATATTTGGAAACAATTATTCAATAAAATAGAGACATTGATGAAGATATTACACATAGAATATAAGCTGGGTGGTTTAATTGAAAAAAGGTAAAAGAGTTATTTGCGATCGTAAGGTACCTAATAAGCTTAAAGGAAAGTTTTATCGAACTGTTATAAGATCAGCAATTTTATATGGTAGTGAATGTTAAACTTTGGCGGGGCAGCAAGAGCATAAAATTGAAGCAACAAAGATGGAAATGTTGATATGGGTGCATGAATATATACGTAAAGACAAAATTCGAAATGAGTGAATATAAAAAAACTGGGTGTGGCACCTATTGAAGAAAAAATGGTAAAAAAATTGTTTAAGGTGATTCGCACATATACAAAGAACACAAAAAGCACCTTTGAGGAGAGTGAAATAGATGACTTTGAGCCCCGTCAAGAAGGGTAGAGGAAGACCGAAGAGAACATTTTTGAAGGTTGTTAAGCGAGACCTTTTGATTAATAATATTCTTAAAAACTTAATAATGATAGAGTAAAATGGCGTCATGTAATCCATATAGCCAACCCCACCTAATGAAATAAGGCTTCTTGTTGTTGTTATTGTTGTATTTTGACGGAGAGGATTTTATATTTAATGCTGAATTGGTAGGTATGAAAGCATGGTATCTCAACAAAACCTATTTTACTTGACATCATATGGTCTATGCAGCACATTAGAAATCCGTAACATTAGTTACTTAAAAAATTAGTTGATGTAAGCATATTGTCAAAAATTGATAGAAATCCTAGTACTAATAATTATTGTAATCATTAGCTGACCCTAGGAACTTGGTACATCTATTTTATATGTTAAAATAAATCCCTAGTTGTTAGGGATTAGTCTCACCAATTAGTTTTGTTTCCTAAACTAACATTCCTTTGTATAAATAAATGCCTGCATTTTGATTCTTCCATGAAACAAGATATTAGAACATTTTGTTAACGAATCAGAGACCTAAGGTTTTCCCCCTATATTTTGTCGCCTTCGTTGCCATATTCCCACATATTTCCAATACTTTATAGTCCTCATTGCTATTGGACATGATTTTACCTTTGTTTTTAGACCTTATTTGATCCAATCGACTTAAAAACCATCACCATGTGATTTGGAATTGTCATCTACCCTAAATTAGGAAAATTTATCATTAACTTCATCGTTATTTTTATTTGAATACATAATTTTAATTGGTTTGGATTTGTTAGATTATTTCCTATCTATTAGATTTTCCTATTTTTATAATTCTTCTTGCTTGGAGCTCAAGTTTTTAGGTTGCTAAGAGCTCTATAAACACAGTTAGTATTATTCTCGTTTTAGGCCTTTGTGATGAATGATATTGGGCGTTTTGAAATTCTTTACAACTCAATTTTGTCTAATCTCTACCTCCTTTCTTGCTGTGTCCCATCTCTCCCTCCCTTCTCTTCCCCTTTCCATTCCCCTTCCCTGTCCTACATCACCATGCATGGCCTTCTACAGTTGACCCTAGGAATTAGGCATGTGTCCACAAATCAGCCCTTGATTGTTAAAGACTTGTCTAACCAATTAATTGTTTCCTAGAGTAGCATTTCCATTTGTCTACAGATACCCTTGTATTTTGATACTTCAATAAAACAAGATATTCAGACATTAGGTCAAAAGCAATTTAAACAGTGTTGCTCAATTCTTCATACTCTAGTGCATAAATGATTTCTATTAAAATCAAAAGGATACAGTAAATCGTGCATCAACATGTATAAATCTACGTAACAATGCCTTTTTGAACAGATATAATCAAGGAATCTTGATATATCACCTGCGCTGGCACTTCTTTGGCAAGTTGTTCAGGTAGGTTCGTTATCCTGTTAAAGACTGAGAGCTGGCTGATAACAGACCCGGTGAAAACATTAACAAAAAACACGTTCCAGATCAAGAAGAACAAAACTTTGTAGCATGCACTTTTCTTCCTTCTGCTACGTGAAATAGACCCCTCAATTGCTGAGAATAGCATCATCGTTGGAGGAACAACATACAGAAACAAAATCAAAATCACACTTGGTAGGTATCCAGTTACTATCTGGCCCACATATTTCCTGCATTAAAATAAAGGGTCAATTTGCAATGAATGTGTAGCATTTAAAATTTTAAATTTTAATAAATTAGCCAGCATTCCACGATCCAATTGTCAGTTATAATCGTTAAAGTTTAGCATAATTCCTATTTTAACAAGAGAATGTACTTTTCACAGTGAAATTTACAGCACCTAACATTATTAGATGTCAAAGTTATTAAAAAAAAAAAAGATGCAGATTAGAATATTAACAACAATTTAAAAAGTGTGTATACTGACACCACCATTGCGAACTGTGGCATACATGGTCACAAGCTTGGCTTAATAAATGTGAGATTAAAACCTACTCGCTTACAATTATAAGCTTGCACCCTAGTTGAGTCTCGTTGCAGGATGCAAACTTGCAATTGTAAGCTTTGCATGGTGATTTTGTAGATTATGCAAGTGTGTTGGGACAGAAAAAGGGATGAGAGAGGAAATAGGAACGGGAAAGCTCTCTCCTAGAAATATGAGAAGTTTTCTTCCTTACAGAGCTACTTTGCCATCTACCAAGTATGATAAAAATACCTTCCCTCACATTTTCCCTTTCTCCACAATTTTTCTATGTACCAACCACACCATTAAAGTAATCTTACTGTGAAGGAAGACATGCTGGCTCGCAAAGGAGAACTAGAAATTTCTTGCCTAGTACTAATGCACCTTGGTTGTTAAGCATTGTTTTATTAAGTCTCACATACAATGGAATTCCTATGTCTTCTTATTCCTTCAAAAATGAGCTATATTACAAGTAATAAAAATCCACAGCATTTTCCCCCATGAATTATCTTACTTTTCAAGTATCCCTTTCAGAAAAGGGAGTGATTCCTGAAGATGATCCAGTTGAGTCAAGCCTTGCACGAATGTGACAGGAATAAGGAACATGAGCATGAAGACGACAGAAGCCACAAGTATTGCTATCTTACGGATCCAAAGTTGCCTATAAGGTATGCAAAGGTTTGACCAGTAAATATCATGTGGTTCAGGAGCTCGGTCGGTAACCCACAACATTGGATTTGATGTTTGAAGAATTTGTGAAGCCACAAGAGCAGCATACCGAGTTTTAAAGAACACAAAAGCAGCTGCACACTCCTGCAATTGAGACCCCAGCTTAAATTGCAAAATGGAGGATATACAAAATTCTTAGTATCACATAACCTGTCTTTCGATATACATACATATCTATGACTACACAATGAGATTTTTTTTTTTTTGAAAAAAAAAACCTGCATTTCATTGCATAACAAATAATAAAAACATTATTTGTAGTGGAAAACAAACAATGACAATGACTCAATGATAGGAAGAAGAGATAAAGCCCATTGTAATGGGCAACGAGGGGAAAAAAATTAATCTGTCAAGCATTGATGTAACTGTAGTTTGACAAAATTTCAAATCTATGTCGCTAATACACATACGAAATATGACAAATTGCATGTCCTGGCGTCCACAAATTGAATTTGACAAGTTTACAACAATGGTTACCAAACTAGCACAAATCCTATGCTGAAACTCAAACCTACAAACACCCGCAGATAAAAAAGAATCATATCTCAAATATCTTCTACTGTAATACAGCTATGCCAGAATCAGATCTTCTCACAAGGGAATAACATGACATAACCATGTAAGAAGGTAATAAAGGCAGACTACATGGGATCCACATACTTTGTGGAGTTCGTCATTTAAATAGACCCCCCACTTGTGTAGGTCTCATACATTTTGTCTGTGTCTATCTCCATTTATATAACAGCGTCATGTTAATCTTTCACATGAGAAAATTCAAATACAACCCTTACTTTTGAAGGCGCATTCAGCTAGTACACCTTGTTCCACTAGGAATACAGATTTTTTCCCCAAAAGTAAAAACCATCTCCATGCATCTCATCCTAACATTAAAGATAAAAATACCAATGCAGCTCCATTAATTATTTTTTCTTCCTTTAAGATGCAAACTAGGAACTTCTATCCATTCACATTAAAAGGTAATAATCATGTCTAACAAACTAAAATGTCAACTTTCATAGTAAGTTGTAAGTATATCATTTAAATATGAATTCTTATATTCCAAATATAATCTTCAGCAAAATATTATGCATGTTTTTATATGAAATTATCAGTTGATTTTGATCACATAGCTTTTTATGTTTTTAAGGATGGTAGTTCAATACTTCAATGTCAGATAATATGGGGAAAAACTCTTACAAATTAATATCGATGAGACATAATTTTTACTGGAAGTTAGGCAAAAATTAACATGCATGTAAACTCACTTTCTAAAATATTGTTACTTCAAAATTAAAATAATTAAATAAAAAACTAAAAGCAATGAGATGTTATAAAATATGGAATAACTTCCCAACATTCTCTTCTTTATACTTATAGCCACCTCTCTTTCATAATTAAAGTTATATAATTAGAAATTAAGTAGCTACTCTAGTTTCCAACAATTAAAACAATTTATTTTTCTTTGCAAAAATATTGTATTTTCTTTGGGGCATTTTATAGCAGAGGCAACAAAAAGTCTCAAACACAAAAACGAAAGACTAATCCAGCCAGAAAATGCACCTTTTTTCTTTCATCTATATTCACGTCATCATAGGCTGTTCTCCCATGTATGCTGCCTATCTCATTAGAAATCATCTTGAAAGAGTTTCTAGGCCCTCCACAGAAGCATTGCGGAAGATGAGGCTTACATCTCTGATCAAATGAACTACCCTTTATTGATTTATACATCAGCTCTGCATCATCCTGGAGTTTTTTATTTTTTTCGGGAGGAGGGATTAATAAGCATAAACAGCAGTTATGGTACCAAGAAGAATTCCAGAAAACCCAATACTTGACACAGACTGTAAGATAAATCAGGAAGCATAGAATCCAATATCTTTATAACCACAATCAAGATACAAAAAAGAGAAGGGCTGTTTTAGATAGAATTAAAACACATCAAACAGTTATAGAGTCCACATTAACATACTGCATTCTCCACATTCATTAAATGGACCATGGCACAATATATAGTATGAAAATCCACAAATAGCATCAACAAAAGCCAAAAATATTTAGCATACTGGCATGTGACCCTTACACCTGAGTGCTATGTAGCAAAAGATTTATGAATTTTCTATGACCTGAAAAAAAAAATCCAGTATATATATATAAGGAGGATACAGAGGATTTGCAAGTTGCTTTCAAAGAAAAAATGATACAAGAAAATCTCATACCAGGCCTTATAAAGCGCAAAAACCAAGCATGTCACAGAACACTGAAAAGCATAATTACTAATTACTAATTACTAATTTCTGTAAAGAGCCCTCATATTATTTCTATCCAACTTGAACCAAGTTACAGCCACAAACAATCTGTTGAATAAGCACATAACAACAGTTATGACCACACTCATGATGATGATATAGGCTAAGAGGGAAGCATATGTTACATACTTACATTAATATATAAAGTTGGAAACAAAAGCACAACGCTGAAAATCACATCACTTAAAAAGAGGGGGTTGAGAAACAGGGGGAATGACAGTAAAGTTCCAGAAGAGGGAATTAATGACAATTAGGTTCCCAACAAAGTTTTCTGAAAAATGAGTTGCATATATTGATTCAAATAGTTGCAAACAGAATCTCAATTACAAACTGAGAGATATACTTAAAATTTAAATATCTTATTTATAATTGAAACTCTAGAATTTGTAATTATTTGAATCGATATTTCAACTTACTAGAAAATTTTATCAGGAACCTAACTATCATTCTCCTCAAGAAATATACCTTCAATTTCTGCACAGTTCCAGACTTATAAATCATTTGGTGCGACAAATATGTTGATTCATGATAATTTGAGAAAAATTTTCTCACAGTTTCATAGTATGAAACTTCTGGGTACCACGGAATTCCTCGCACAACAATTGCAAAGTGACTTGGATTTGGAGGTGACCCAATAATATGCACTAGCCTCAAATTAGTAATGGCCTTGAATTCCTGACATAATATGTCAGTTGATCAGTCATATTTAGAAAAGAAAAGAAAAGAAGACAAAAAAACTGTGAAGGGTAGGGCCATTCTGACAAAAACAAGACGACAGAGAAGATAATATTGCAGGTAAGTAAACTCCTTACAAAATAACTAAGAGCGCAAGCAGCAATAGTTATGATGTATAATGCCAGACAATGCGCCCAAAGCCTGATATCAAACAAAAGAAGAACATCAACTTATGAGAAACAATTTAATATGTAAAGAATAAATAGTTTAGTTAGTTGGGGGTTAGTTAGTTAGATTCTGTTAGAATAAAGGGATGAAGGAGCCTATATAAGGGATCCTAACTGTAGTCAGATATTATGCAAAATTGAAAATACAGAAACACAGTCCAGTTCTCCCTATCCTCCGTTTCCCTTTCTCTCTCGTCTCTTATCTCTTCCTCCCCCCCCCCAGGGTTTTCTCTTCTTTCTTCCTCTTCTCTTTCACTCCTCTCTTTCTCTCTTTCTCTTCTTTCAACCATATCAGTGGTATCCAGAGCCAGTCTTTCCTTCCCTCTGTATGCTAGAAATGCATTCCCAAGCTGCATTCAAGAAGACGACAGATCAGAATGATGCAAGACTTTGTATCTTGGAGAATCAACTCCAAGCCCTCACTGCCCAAATAGCTCAACTTGTTGGATATTTTGATGAATCCTACAATGATAGAGGATCCTCTTCCAAAGACATAGGCGCCAACCATCAACCCAGAACAGAATTTCCAAGATTCCAACGAGATAACATTCTTGGGTGGGCTTTTGAAGTGCGAATATTATTTTCACTTGGATGAAACACCAGATTCTTGGAAGGTTAATGTGGCAAGTATTCACCTAGACAAGGAGGTATTTACGTGGCGTTAATCTTTCCAGCAAATGCAACGAGGTGAACAGCTTTCTTGGGAAGACTATGTGGAAGCCTTAAAGACGTATGTAGCAGGACTAGACAAGAACTCTACTGCTCAAGATCATATCTTGAAGCCTCTATCACTGCAAGAAGCTCGGAGCATCACACAAGTGCACGATTGCAATCTTCAAAGAGCGGAAGACACATGTAAAGTCCAGAGGGCAACAGGTCTTAATTTTTGTGATGGGTTTTAGAAATCTTTGTTGGGTTCGGACAGGTGGAAAGGACTGAAAAATACACCTGGTGATGGTGGGTCTCAACATGTTGAGGATAAAAGCATCCTTTCCCCTAAAATACATTCTTTTTATTTGAAAACTGGTCCTACTTCCCCTGTTTCTTCAAGTGCAGAGGCTGCTTCTTCAAAAACTAACTTGAAAATCACGAAAAAGTTGAACCAGAAAAAGCAGAGCACAGAGCCTGAAATATTTGTCTTTTCTGTCATTAAAAGTGCCGCAAAGATGGGTTTTCCCTTGGGTTCCCATGCTTGGATAATTTTTAAGATGAAATGTCAAAATCCCACCCGCCATACAGGTGGCATTTTCAGAAGCAAAAGCTGAATCAATTTCCTTTAATAGGCTTAAAGGAGCTTCACAATTGGGCTGCTCATGTTGGGCTGTACAAGGTGATAGGGATGTTAGAGAAAATATTAAATAAAACGGCTGGATGGAAGCAAGGCTGATTATCACCGGAATATTAGTTCAATGGAGAAACTTGCCAAATAAAGAAGCAACTTAGACGTCTGGTTTTAATTTTCAGAGGCAGTTTCCAGACTTTCCCATCTCTGACCCTCAAGGTCATGGGTTTTTGAGGGGAGGGTATTGATATGTAAGAATAAAGAATAAATAGTTTAGTTAGTTGAGGGTTGGTTAGTTAGATTCTGTTAGAATAAAGGGATGAAGGAGCCTATATAAGGGATCCTAGGTGTGGCCAAATATTATGCAAAATTGAAAATATAGAAACATAGTCCAGTTCTCCCTATTCTCTATTTCCCTTTCTCTCTCGTCTCTTATCTCTTCCTCTCTCCCCCCCCCCCGGTCTTCTCTTCTTTCTTCCTCTTCTCTTTCACTCCTCCGTTTCTCTCTTTCTCTTCTTTCAACCATATCCCATTTTTTGCCTGTGCATTCCTGAATTAAGACATTTATTTTTGACATATGAGCACCTAAAATTGAAACAGAAAGGTAGGACATTTGACTAAGTCATGTCACAGTTTTCCACTATTGTAACTTCCCAACCACTGCACTAACGCAGATCTATATAGCTTTTAGGATTAATGGATGTTTTTACTCTTTGTAACTGTCTACTAGTATAATTAGATAAACAGGAATTAGCTTTCATTTGAAGGAATGAATTTATATTCATACGCCACTAAAAGTAATCCCAGCATGAAGGAAGTAAAACTAAATAATCAGTTAAAGAAAAAGAGGAAAATGGACAAGGAAAGATCCCCATGTAGCTTCGAAATCATCATTTTTTGAAACATCAAGAGATCTTATTTGTTTATTCCATTCAACCATAACCTTCTCAAACTAAACTAACATAATTAAGACTATATTTGAGGGATAAAAGATAGTGAATACCATTTTGAGCCTTCTTTAACATTCTCAATGGAAAATACTTCCAGTGGCTCAAAAGAAATATCCTTGTGTTTTCCTTCCTGGCCATAGTAATTTACTGGAAGCACCAGAACAGTGCAGATGATAGCCGCAATGGAAAAAACTCTAAGACTGAAGAAAATAGTAGCATTGACAGTAAGTACTGCTGCAAACTGAACAGTGAGAACTCTTTGTACAATATATTTACGATGACCTATATGGAATAACAACTGTTTTCTAGTAACATGAGAATGGTACTCAAAGTAAACTCATAACAACTCAGATATGAAAATAGCACGAAGTTGGCCACGTTTACCATATTTCAAAGGCAAATATAAAAATTTCCAGAAGAACCAATTGCAAAATCAGTCAAAACACAACTAAAAAGTTCTTTTAACTAGCCAAGGACTTGTCTTGTCATAACATTTTATTAGATTTTTCAGAACTTGCATTAAAACAAGACTTATGCATCAGTCTCTGTTCCTGGACAGTTTCAACATTTAGATTCTTTTTAACTCAGAGGCACAAACAACATTTTTCATGAGGAATTGTTTAAAAATAAATAAATGGTTGCGTGACATGATTAACAAATCAGGAAAACTAACAAGGATGTCATCTGATGCATAACTAAAGACAAATATTATTATACATATAGCCCTGATATTACTATTTCGTGTTACCAAGCAAATGCACTGAAAAAGTGGACTGAAAAACACGGAAACATTTCATAAAAGTGAGCATCAAACTATCTTCTTTCTGTGACTCAAATATCTTCACTAAGGTGGCACCCGTGGATGTTATTTCAATTTTCAGAAATTATCAGTTGATAAAAGTGAAATACCACCACACAGTAAATATTTCATGCCAGATGCCAAAAATGAAATTGCTAAAATTACGTTTTAAAAGGATTAAACAACCTGAATACAACTATCCTGATAAAAACCACAGCATCCAAGCCACCAACAGCCAATAATTCATCTTCAGTTGTATGCCATGCTTTCAATATCCAGCTAGGGGAAGGAACAAATCTTTCCAAGCAGAGATCAGTGCGTCTTGACCGTTTAGAGGCCAGCCTCCGTCCAAAGTATACATTAACATTGCCAGGCTGTTTTCTTAATATCGAATAAAGTGAAAGAAGCACCGCACAGATGCCAATATTAATTCCAGCAGAAGTAAAAAGAGCAACAATTTTCATCTTTGTCCACTATATTGGCAACCTTGACACATATCTTTACACAGAAAGAATGACATATGACGTCCAAGCCATGCTCATCACCTAAAGAATATATGTATAGTTCAACTGATATCTCAAAAATGGCTTTCTTCAGAGAAGTTCAAGTATTGCAGCATGGAAAATTTGTCATTATAGTAAACCAGATTTTCTGACTATACTCTCTGTGATTTTCACCTTGAATCAACAAGCACCTGTGCGAATGAACAAAAGGTTGAATAGTCATGATCATGGAGACACCTAAGACCAGATACACTTGCTCCTTTGAATAACTTACAAAACGTAATTTCCATCATTTCAATTTCCAACTATATGATGAAGAATTTATCATATTGATCGTACATGCTAAACCAAATATAAAATGGTTGTTGATAAGTCATTAGTAATTTCTTGAATAACTCATATTGTGCATTACCGTGAAATATTATGAGCATTATCTAATATGAATGAATATGAACTTTTCTAAGCCAATAGATAGTTTACATTGAAATTAAAAGTGTAACGTTTACTGATCCTGAGAACGCATGTCCGCTAAGAGCATTGGTTTGTTGTGAAAATGAAGCAAGTAATCTTTATCAGAGGACGCTGCACGAACTGTTTATGATAAATAGAAAAGTACTACAAGTTTGTCCACATAAAAAAGGTGCATGACTTGGAAGTTTTAACACTGACGATTTAAGCAACATCTGATGGGCAAGATTTGTTCCTCTCACCTTACATTTGTGAGGATGTGTAGCTATAGCTACAGACACACACATTTCATACAGATAAGAAAAAATAGTGAAGCTTAAAAACATGTAAGCAAGAATCACTTGCTTTGGAATTCGAACTGGATACCATAAATAAAACTGCTGATTAATAGAACAAGCACATCATAATAGAAAATCTCGATAAACGATAACGTGAATGTAAACGCAACGAACCAAATCCAGACAATATCACGTGAAAAAATGAAAAATCCAAAAAGAAAATTGCGGAATTGCGGAATGAACAATAATGTTTAATGCAACCAAAAATAAAAAGAGGAAGAAGAAAGTGAAATAGCAGCAGTACCCGGGCACGAACGAAAAAGCAGCCGGTGCAGAGTAAATAATATCGAGACGATCCAAAATGAGTAAAGATCAATGAGCAATGGCAGTCTTATATGAATGCGAAAATATAGAAGAAGAAGGGGCCAGGGTGGGCTCAAAACTTGTACGCCATTGCCGCGCGTTGCTTAAACTTGATAGGCACGCATGAGATTGATTAGAAGGCAATGAACAGAATCGAAACCCTAAATTTTGGTGCGAAGGTGTGAGGGTTTTCCTGTATAAACTCCACCGAGAATGTGCAAGAGGGGAAATCGCAGCAATTAAGCACCAGTGCAATGCAATATCCCGTTGCCGACCGCCAAACCGCAATTAGTTAAAAGCGGGACAGAGATATTATTCATTCCATGAGAGGCCACGTTTTTTTTATTCGCTCATCATTATCATTACAGTTGAAAGGAATTGAAAGAAAGAGCGGGAATTAATTACGGGGAATATATTAAGAACCCGCATTAACTATTGAGTGTCGCAGTGTATGAGAAAAAATAAAATAGCGTCCACGTGGCGGACAGCGAAGAGAGGGCGGAATCCATGACGCAGAAAGGGAACCGCCGAAACGGGCGATAAAACATGAAGCGTTACTGATACGCAGCATCACCGCGGAGCAAGTATGAAGACAGCCAATTCTTGGCAACATGAACGTGATGTTGCCAAGTCATCTTCGTGGTTTCCTTCTGCTGGCACTCCAAAATATCGTGGATTTCCATTCTCTGCTGGTACTATGCCTTCCGGCTGTTTAAGTGATCGTTTGAGTTTTAGATGGATATAATTAATTAATTATAACAAAATTTGTTTGAATATTATTTTTTAAAAAATTAATTTTTAATATAATTAAAAATATTTGAATAATTTAGGCAGAATTAATTTTAATTATATAAGGATATTATTTTTTAAAATTAAATTATTAATACACTTGTATCTAATATTATTAAATTTGTTAAATTTTATTTAAGTAAAATATATTATTTAAATTACATATCTGATTAATTATAACAACTTAAATTATATTAATATTAACAATTTAATTTATGTAAATAAATAATTCAATATATCTTAGTTTAAATAAATTTAATAAAAGAAAAAATTTAATTTTTTAAATACTAAATATCAATTTTATAATAATTAATGAAGATGATAATATATAAATTGATCTTTAATGACATGTTTATATCGAATATGTTCAGCATTGCCCTAAAATTTTGACAACATAAAAAATATAATAATATAACAAATGATATAAAATCTCTCTCTCGAACCTTTGCAACAATCTTTATAATGACATAAATTTTAAATTAAATTAAATTATTTTTTCCTATCAATTAATATTTTATTTGAATTATTTTATAGTAAGCGTTAAGTAAAAGATAGTGGTTAATAAAAACTTATGCTAGTAACTTTTTGTAAGATTAAAGTTTAAATTTTATTAAAAAAAAGGAAAATAAGACAGTTTGGTTTTATGTTTATTAAATGTTGTGCCATTCTTATAATTTTTACTTGAGCCTTTCTTTATAATTTTTCTACATGCTTTTTCATCAGCTTTTCTTATTCTCCTCCCTTCTCTTTCAGACGCAGAAGCTAAAAAAGACAGGAAAAAATCTATTTTTCTCTCAACAACTGATTAATTAAAAAATTGATGTTTGGGTATTTTTTTGATTAATCAATTTTTTACAATTTTTCAACTGAAAAAAATTGATAATTTTTTTAATCCAAACACGCTGTAAGAAGTAGATGTTAATTGGTGGATGGGCTGCTCATTTACACAGTGCTTTTCTTTTTAAAAAAATAAATTTAATTAATGGATGATTTTGTTAAAATATATATATATATATATATATAATTGTGGATCCATGATAAAAAAAAGTGGGTGTGAGACATATATTTGTAATTTTTAAAAATTTAAACTAGGTGTAAAAAATAATAAAATTTTTATATTTTAAAAGATCATATAAGATTTATGGTAAAAATTGATGGTCAATATAAAATTTTTAGTAAAAATAATAGGTGTTAGACATGTAAAAAATTACGGCAAAAAAGCAAGTGTGAGACCTATAATTAAATTGTTAATTAATTTAAGAAAATTTATGTTTTTTAAAAAGTAGTTAATGGATGATTTTGTTAAAAAAAAATAATATGTGAAGATATATAGTTGTGGGACTCATGGTTAAAAAAAATAAATGTGAGATCTACCATTAAAAAAATATTATCTAAACCATGTTATCTCTGTAACTGTTAGTTATGGAGATATTTTGGAAATTAAAAAAATGAAGTTATTTCTTAAATTTTAATTTTTAAGGGACAACACATTATAAAATAAAACAAGTTATTATTTATGTTTTAATATGTATGAACAAAAAAAATTAAAATAAAGTATTCTTTAGATTTTTAATTTACACAAATAATAAATTATAGAGTAAAATACATTGGTATGCCTTTTGTTTTGTTAAAATTATAAAAAATTATTCTTTATTTTTAAAACTTACATTTAAATCTTATTTTTAAAACTATTAAGAATATTATGTTAAATATTTTAAAATATTTACTTTTTTATTTGTATTTATGTTGAAAATTTTAAATTATTAATTTACCTTTATAATCTATTCATCTATCCTCTTGCTTCTTAATTTAAGAAACTTCAAACAATTTTTGGCCAAAAAAGAAACCTTAAACAATTAAGTATGACAACAATTTAAAAATATTTATGAAAATTATAAAATTTAAATCAACATAAACATAAATTTTATTTACTAATCTATCTCTTGTTTCATTTTTTTTGCAAATACATCTTTGAAATATTATTTTAGTAAAATTACTTCATTTATTAAAAAATATAAGGAATTTTACTTTTTTAAGGGGTTAGATATTAAAAAATATAACACATTATGTAATTATTATTTTTTTAAATGCCCCTCATAAATAAATTATTTGATATTTATTTTAAGTAAAACACCCTATTGAATATAGATAAATATAAAAAATGATGTTGATTTGAAAATAAGTAATTATTTTATTAGGAGTGAGAGTTGGTTAAAAATACTTTAAATTTTTAAAAGGAGGGAGTATGAATTTAATTTATAAAAAATACTAAATAAATCAGTTTGCTTGACTAATAAATTTGAAATACGAATATAAATTTAAAGAATGTATTAAGAATGGTATTTTAATTTAACATGTATGAGATAAATGAAAATAAAAATTTAAAAGTAGAAGGTATATTTAAATTTTATTACTATTAACTATTTATTTTAAGAAAGATTAATGTAGATTTTAAAAATGAAAAATATTTTTTTAATTGAGATGAAATGGAGGGGAATGAAGTATTTTACTTTAAGAATGCGTTTAAAAATTTAAAATTAAATGGAAAAGAATTATCATTAATAGAGTGGAATATAGTGGAGTATAGTGGAGTGGGATAAAGCAAAACTTTTTATTGTTTGAGTTTTATGATGGAAATGAATGATTTTATATGAGCATTGTTTGAAATTTATCATAAAATGGATAGAACGGAATTGATTAAGAGGTATTTCTTTTAATATTACCCATATGACTAAATTTAAAAATAATAACAATACCCATTAAATAATTATAATATTGTCGAACAAAAAATAATAATAATTAAAATTAATGGTCAAACAGGATATGAATAATTAAGAATAAAAGAGAAAGTAAGCACTAGAATCACTCAAACAAATATGCCTTTTGTAAAGAGGAAAATACAACATCGTTGTAGCGTCAGAGAGGGCGCGCGAGAGAGCAAGAGAGAGAGAGAGAGAGTAATGGCAGAAAGTAGAGTTGTGCATTATGCCTCATCTGCCCAACCTCGCTTGAAACATTCGAGTACATTAGGCTAGGCATCAACAGGAGTCAAACCCTACATTGCTCAAACATATGCAAGTTTTTTTTATTTTTTGTAAATGATATTTATTTTATGAAATTAGTTTTTGTTGAAAGTTATAAATTATATTATTTTTATGATCTTTTAATATTTTTTATCATTACAATTTTTTAAATCTCTTTCAAAATTCAAAATTTACTTTAACTTATCATTATGTAAAAATAATTAGCAATTGCTGTTCATTTAAACTTTAAAAAAATTACTTTTGATTCTAATGTTAGTTTTATGAAGAATATATTTTAAATAATAATAATATTTTAAGGAAAACTTTTTTATATATTTTTTAAAAGATACTTGTAAAAATATTTTCAGATCAATCGAGCCAACCTAGTGCCTGATTACACATTGAGCTGGGCACTAGGAAGGGGCGATACTTGACTTGACCCTACCTATGTGCAGCTCTAGTGAGAAGCGAGAGATGGTTGAAGAATGAAAAAAAATATAATTTTTTTTATTATGATAAAAGGTTATGGGTGATTTTATCAATGAAATAATTATATTATTTGACTCCATCTTTAATTCCTTCAATTTGAGGGGACAAAAAAATTGAGTTATGAATGGCAAATCCTCTTTAAAGAAAACTCACCAACAATGGCTTAGCCTTACACTCCATTTCCTCCAAAAAAATATCTCACATGTAGTGGAAGAATGCTAATATAATTTTTTAATATTAATTATTAATTATATTTTTTAAAACTAAAACAATCACGTGCATTGCATGTGATATAAATCTAGTTAATTGATTAAATCAGTGGTCAAAAATTTTATCATATAATATTTAAAAATTATTAAATCTTAAATTTTTAAAAAGAACAACATATGTTGTGAATATTTTTTTTGCATCATGTTTTATTTTGGTATATTTCTAATAAATATTTTAATCATGAAATTTGTTTTAATTTTTTAAGAAAAACATATCTTGATAATTCCTAAATAGCAATAAATTGAGACATTTATTGAGCTAAGTAAACTTGAGATGGGACACTCGCCCAATCCAAAACTTGATTTAAATGGTGAATTATGATAATAAATCAATTTAATGGCTTATATTTTAGAGTTTTTAAAAAATATTTTTAACTGATATTATTAAAGTTAAATCAGATAACTCCAATGTAATGGATTTTTGGGTTGAATTCACCTAGCAGATAACAGAGACGCTTGTAACCTGCACGCCTGCACCCCTAAAGGGAGAAGAATCAAGTTGATTTCGATACGATCATACAAACTGTGCAAATAAACCTGCACAATGAAAAGCTTTTCTCGTCATTTTTATTAACTTTAATTTATCATTTGACATTTTTTCATGCAGCAAACAATTTGCATTATTTTATTTTATTTCCATGAAAGGAGTAAAGAAAATGTTCAAATAAGGACAAAATACTTAATATTTATTTTTTATTCGTGATATTTAAATTCAATATCTCATCGCATATCTTTGGTTTAATCTGTTGCAACTTGCAACCAAATCGAAAGGAAGGAATACGCGCAGTCTTCTTAAAAATCACTGCCTGCGTCTAGCTTTCTCTGCTGTTTTCTGACCAGTGGTTTTTTCTGATTTTTGGATTCCCATTTGTTCTCTCTTCCTCCCAAGAGCATTTATACTCTTCAGCTGTGAAACACTAATATTTTAAATTGATTCATATATTCGTATTCATATTGTATTCGATATTAACATTCATCAATACTATTTTGATACGTATTTGTAAAGTATCAAAATATTTTTTTAATTTAAAATTTTAATTTTTGATATGCATTTGATATTTTTAAATTGCGAGTCAATACTAAAAGAAAATTTTGTGAAATTAAATTTTATTAAATATCATGATATTAAATTTTTTATTATGAATGTCTTTTTTATTTTCTTTTAAAGTTAAATATTAGATTTAAAATAAATAAATTTTTGATATAATAAAAGAATAAAGATTACATTTTTCTTAAGTTATAAATCCTAAGCAAGTTATAGGTGGAACAAGATATATATATATATATCTATATATATGAAGCTATCATTTTTTCAAATAATTTGATGAGGAGTTTTTGATACTATACTACTGGTAGGCAATTAGGTGTTGATATGATAGAAGTATAATTAATAATTATGATTTATATTGCGTGTTAGTTTGAATATTTTTTAAATTGAAATCATATTTTTAATGTTTTCATGATGTGTGTGCATGCGTGTTGAAAACATATCATATCCTATATTTTAAAAAAAGTATCAATATATCAAACACATATTGTATTTGATACTAGTATGATAGGTCACGTTGAGTGAAGGGTGCAAATGCACCTCCCTACTTGAAAAAATTACAAATGAAGTATATAAAATATAACTTTACAACCTCTATTTTTAATATCACCTTTTGAATTAAATAAAAATATATAGACTAAAAAACTTATTAAATATATAATATTTAATGATCAATATAATATATGAAGAGCATAT